TTTTTTTTTTTTTTTTTTTTTTTTTTTAATAAAAAACAACAAAGTCTCACTGTGTACTGCCTTGAACTCACTAGAGTCCGGTCTGGCTTTGAACTCTGTGATCCTCCTGCCTCAGCCTCCCAATTCCTGGGATTATAGATGTGCACCACCATGCCCAGCTCTCCTCTCCTTTATTTTTTTTCCTAAGCACCTTCATTACAACATACTTCTGTCTTCCCAGTTTTGCTTTCACAGTACTTGAAAAGTAGACCCCAGTCTACATGAGCTCGAGGATAACCTGAACTACAGAGCGAGACCCAGTCTCAAAAAGAAAAAAAGAGTAGGCCCAAAACAGTCCTCCATCCTGCCGTACCCCCCAACCATCCCTTGGGCGCAGATTTCCTTCCCGCACGCCCCTCAGCCCACCCACCCTGTGGAAAACGCACTCCTCCAGGCCTGCCCCACATGCGCGGGAGGCAGGGTTTTCTTTTGGGCAAACCTGCTCCTTGGGAGGGGCCGTGGCAGAACCTGTTTGAGGAGGAGGCTGCTTCTCTCCCACACCTCCCTCTTCCCTTGGAGGCCAGAGCTACCACGGCTGGGACAGAAAAGGGTCCGGAAGGGCTGGCGGCTGGGACGTCCCGCTCCCCAGAAGAGTGTTCAGGAGAGGCAGGAAGACTTGGGAAGATGGGATCTGTACAAGATGCAGGGAAAAGGACTCCAGCCCTCCGGTAAGTGCACGGAGCATGGCCGCCTGGCTGGGTGTGGCGTGCAGGGTTTCCCACCATCCAGCCCCTGTCCAGAGCTTTTCCTGGGGTCCTTTGAGGAGAGAAGACTGAACAGGGACTAATTTGCAGAGAAGGCTTCAGAGCTTCCAGGTAGGAAATGTCAGTATGGTTGGGAATTAGTCAATGCCCGGATTTGTTTTTAAGGGAAGTTTCTATGTTTTATATCTGATAAATCTCCCCCCTTTCCTAACTCCCACCTTCCAAATACCTGGTCCAGAAATGGATTTAAGTCCAGGTTCTTCCCAGCGAATTTCCCTACCTTCTTCCCTGAGCTCCCCGATGCCACTCCCAGCGGAGTCGAGAAAGGCAGGCGCGGATGTCTTTCCCGATGCCAGGGACGTCTCGCAGGTCCGTCTGGGTTCCAGCCAGTGTCGTGGGCGGGCCCACAGCCATGGGGGAAATGTGATTTGCTGTACAGTTCATCTTTCCTCTGCTCTTAAACCCTGGTGGAGGTGAAGGAACATTGTATAGGAAACAAGAAATCTGAGTTCTTGTTTTGTTTTCTAGGCTGTCTCACCTCGTAACCCAGGCTGGCCTTGAACTCACAGTCTCCTGCCTCAGCCTCCCCGTTGCTGCCCTCTGTAGCTTAGTGACTGTGCTCCATTCCCATGTCTGCTCTTCAGACGTTGTCCGGGTTGTTCCATGATCAATCTTTTCTTCCGGGGACTCAGGGTCGGGGAGCACGAAGAAGAGGCAGAGCCAGGAGCAGCCCTGAGGATCGGGGAGATAGAACTGCAGGAACAATGGCAGGATGAAGAATTCCCCAGGTGAGGAGGGGAGAGGGAGTCTGGGAGGAGGGCGGAGGCCACAGAGGGTAAATTTGGACTTGAAGGAAAGAGCTGGGGAAAAGAACACACACTAGCCAGAGATTTAGCTCTGTGGCACTGTGCCTGCCTCGCAAGTGCAAGGTCCTGAGTTCAATTCCCCATACCAAAAAGAAAAGAAAAGAGCCGGGTGTGGTGGTGCACTCCTGTAATCCCAGCACTCGGGAGACTGAGGCAGGAGGATCACTGTGAGCTCGAGACCGGCCTGGGCTACACAGTGAGTTCCAGGTCAGTCTCCACTACATAGTGAGACCCTGTCTCCAAACACCAAAAAAAAAAAAAAAAAAAAAAAAAAAGATGCTAACACTGTGGCAGTAGAGAGCAAGCTGGTGAACTGACAGCTGGCGGAAGCCCTTCCTCTTTTCCCCGTAGATTGCTTCCTGAGGAGGCTGGCCCTTCCGAAGAGCCTGAAGCTGCTCAGAGAGACCCTCAGGCAGGTGAATAAAGTAGGACCTAGATTTCAAACTCTTGATTCCAGTCCACAGAAGGTTCCCCGCTGCCGTTAGCCCTGCACAGCGCCCGGTCCCCTTCCCGAGCAGCGTCCCGCGCACGGAATTCCGGCCACCATCCTCACCTGGCGTCCCCCCTCGGCCCCCAGGTCCCCCCAGCACTCTAGCCCTGTGTGGCCAGCGCCCCATGCGGAAGCGCCTGTCTGCGCCGGAGCTGAAGCTGAGTCTGCTGGAGGGGCCTGCAGAGAAGGGGTCTTCTTCCCCCACGCACTCCGCAGCCCCCTCTTCCGACGGCAGCTCGGACCTGGACCTGGACGAACTGGAGACGCCGTCAGACTCCGAGCAGCTGGACAGCGGGCACGAGTTTGAATGGGAAGGTGGGCAGCGGACCGGGCAGAGCGCCTGCCTAGGGTGTGCAAGGCGCTAGGCTCGTCTGAGCTCAGCTGAAACAAGGAGAAAACGTTGCTTATAACTCAGCGAGGCCTGCTTAGCCTTGTTCACTGTCTGTCTGTCTACTATCTATCTATCTGTCTACCTGAGACAGGGTCTGTAGCCCAGGCTGCCTCCTCCCTGGGCCTCCAAGCACTGTGAGTACGAGCAGGCTCTACCACGCCCGTCCCCGACAGCCTTATACTTAGAAAAGTAGAGCCAGGGGAAAAAAAAAAGCTCCGTATAGGTTCAGAGTCTGAGGTTAGACCTAACGGGATAGGCACTAAAGGAAAACCAGCAAAATGAATTTCTTCAGAAGGGAAAGTTGGAGTGAGTGAGTAGACGAGAGAGTAGTGCGGGGTCCGCTGCCTATTCAGAAGAGCTGTTCAATACCAGTTACATGCTGTCACCGAGCTAGAACTGAGGTAAGAAAGACAAAGGCCTTACCCTCAGCAAGGCCTCTGTGTACAGCTCAGGAAATAAGGGTACACACAGGGCCGGCCAGCCGGGCGTGGTGGCACACACCAGTAATCCCAGCACTCAGAAGGCCGAGGCAGGAGGGTCTCAGTGAGTGTGAGGCCAGCCTGGACTGCATAGCAAGACCTTGTCCCCCCTAAAAAATGTGTGTGTGTGTGTGTGTGTGTGTGTGTGTGTGTAGAATGGTTGCAGTTAAAGGGCAGGGTCTATGTGTGCACAGATCATGGTACTAAGAAGGAAAGGTCAGTTCTGCCCAAAGGTGTTAGGGGAGATTCACAGAGGAGGTGACTCTGAGGTGGCTGAGGGTTGCCGCTGAAGCCAGTGTTTTTCAGGTGGTTGAGAGGGCATTCAGGGTGGAGGCAGCAACTCAAGCCATGGTGTGGCAAGGTGGGAATTCAGAGTGCAGAGCCCAGCTGTTCATGGCAGGCCGTCTGGTAGGTGAAGGGAGGCAGTCACACAGCAGTGTTGGCTAAGCAGCCAACCACACAGGCCATGTTGCTATGCTGAGAAGTTTAGATTTTGTGCTGTGGGCAGGGAGAGTCATAGAAACGTTTTAATGTGGGAATAATGTGATCAAATTTAATAACACTGTAAAGATTAAAAACAACTAGGTGTGGTGGCACATGCCTATAATCCCGGCACTTGGGAGGCTGAGGCAGGAGGATTGCTGTGAGTTCAGGGCCAGCCTAGGTAAGACCCTGTCTCAAAACCACCTAAAGAGCCAGGGATTTAGCTCAGTGGCACCACTCCTGCCTCGAAAGTTGCAAAGTCCTGAGTTCAATCCCTGGTACTGAGAAAAACAAAAAACCCCTAAAGTTCTGTCATGAGGGTATCAGTACTATTACAGTTCTGTTTTATAATAAGATGCTAAATACTATGCACCTCCTCTTGACCCTCACAAATCAACCCAGGGCTTCAGGAATGCTAGGCAAGCGCTCTAAGACTGAGCTAAGCTCCCAGCCTGGTGCCACTGGTTTTCAAAATGAGGCAGCTCTTTACTCGCTGTGAGAAGATCATAACACATGGTGGGTACAATACATTATGGTTTGCGGGAAAGAGGTGGCAGTGGTGTAGGCTGGACTGGAGGAAAACGACATGGAGGTGGGGAGAGCAGGAGGGGCCACAGAGGCCACGCGAGAGGTGTCCCCAGGCTGGGACAGCAGCGGGGGAAAGATGGCGGTAGACAGAAGGAAAAGGCTCTGTAACCCACTGGTATGAAAGCTGATGGAGGAAAGGATCTTAGGTGACAGTTTCCGGCATCCAAATGGATGAACAATTCATGAAGATAGGAAATATCGGGAAGGGAAGAAGGAAATGGAGGCGTTGTTTTGTGTGACTGGTGACGGGAATGCACACATTGGAGATGTCTCGGCATTTGGGGATGGGGTCTGGAGTTAGGAGAGAAGTCTGCGGTAGAAAGGCCTGTTTGTGAGCCATTGTCTCACGGGCGGCAACTGAAAACGTGGGAAGGGGCCAGGGATGTAGCTCAGTGATACCGCGCCTACCTGGCAAGCACAAGGTCCTGAGTTTGATCCCCAGTACTGAAAAAAAAAAGGAAAAAGAAAATGTGGGAATAGGGGAGCTCACACAGTAAACAACATACTAGAAAGAAAGAAAAAGCTGGGCGTGATGGCGCACGCCTGTAATCCCAGCACTCGGGAGGCTGAGGCAGGAGGATCGCTGTGAGTTCGAGACCAGCCTGGGCTACATAGTGAGTTCCAGGTCAGTCTCAACTACGTAGTCAGACCCTGTCTCAAAAAACCAAAAACAAAAAAGAAAAAG